CTGATCTGGGCTGGCTCCTGCCACTGGGGCAGGGTTCAGCAGAGCACCAAGGGAAGGGTTACAATTATGAAGTACATCCTTAATACTCACTGTGCAGTTTTAACAACAAATTCATTGCATTCAGGATAGGGATCTGATGCCACTGCAGAGTAGTGATTGCTGGTAAAGTCCTGTTTGGGAGGGGTTAAATGCAGTTTCTATAATGAGTTTCCCTGTAGCAGAAAACTAATCCCAGGTGTGACCTAAGAACTGCTTTAAGGTTAGGTTGAATTGTTTCCTGCAGCTCAAAGTGCTTAATACTGTTTAACAGAAATCTTGCTGCAACTTTACTTTTGGTTTTAGTTGATGGCAGATTGTTACCTAATGTGTTTCATTAAAGTATGAAGGGCCTGGTAACAACACAGTGTTACTGAAATACTGCATTTCCAAATTACCAAATAGCTTCTTGATAAATGAAGATATGGGTCTTCAAACCAATAAACTCTGTATCTCCTGCAGACACATCTACAGCCCTACTTCCATGGTAGTTCTGCATCTCCTTTTGAGATGCAGCCATGGAAAGCATGGTATAGGATTGGAGCAGAAACTTGCCTAAACTCTGCAGGTGATGTGTCTTGTGGGTGAGGAAAGATTTTTTTTTTCCTCTGTCAGCATTTTTTATCTTATTTTTTGCCCACAGTCAAGGCACTGGGTGGTCCTGGCTTCATCACCCATCTGTGGGATTTCCATGGGACTGTGGTGTAGAACATTGTTAAATGCAAGAAGGTGTCAGTAGGGAGATGGTGCTGCTGCAGGTTAAGGGGCTGAGGCTCATTGGGTTTCTTCTGAAGATGTGAGCACAGTGCTGTCTAACTGCACATGAGGGTCTCGTCCTCCTCAGCATGAGACCAGCTCACTAGAACCAGTAACTTTCAGCACAGACAAGAATCCTGAAACTCCCTGGACTTGGATCATGTGTCTGTTGGCAGCTTAACTACTAAAAAATTACAGCTGTCCTCAGAAAGCTTACTATTCTCAATATTTTTGCTTAAAACTGATAGATGTATTTCAGGAAAACTATTTTGAGTATCATAGTTTGATGTGGCACTGTGTACTTGGGCAGAGGTGGGACTGAGATCTACAGATAGAACTTTAAAGCTTGAAATTTAGGGGGGGTGTGGCTGATGAAGATGAGAAGTTTTGAGGTTATGGTTTGAGGGAAATCATGAAATGCTTTAGCTTTGGAATAAACTGGTGAGAAATGCCTCTGGGAAGGACATGTCTGCATTTTAGAATACAAAATTGTTTCTGAAGTCGCAGGAACCGAGCAGTATTTAAAAAAGAATGAATAAAGTGTTTAAAAGTAGATGCAGAATGAAAGACGAGTCCTTCTGAGGCCATAAAGACAATCAGGCCATGTAGACAATCTGTGTTTTCATTTGCATATTTTGAATTGGGAAGAAGATGGCAGCTGGTTTGAAGTGGAAAAGAAGGATTTCTTGAATTACTGGAAGTTTATTTTTGTACTCCAGAGCAGGATTTCCTACTTGGGATGTGCAGAGGGGCAAGACCATTTTTCCTGGCAGCATTATTCAGAAGCCAGTGTTCATCCTACATCTTACTCGCACACCACACGTACCTGTGCTACCTGCTACTCCTTGTTCTCTGTCTACTGAAACTTTGGTGCAGAAGCTCCTTGTTTACATGAAGCACTTTTTGATTAGGCTGGAAATTGACACCTTTTCGTCCTATAAATTAGATGGAGATGACAGATTATTGACTATTTTGCTTGAGGATAGAGGTATAACCTTTGTTTTTTTTGAATGAGGGACACTCATGCTCCTTGTTCTGTTAAAGAGAGAGCTGAGATTTGCATTTAGTGAGCAACATGCAAAAAGGTCTTATTCCCCTTTCCCCAAACCCAATTCCTCTTTTCCTTAATATATGGATGAATAACTTAATTCCTAAAACACATTCTTCCTTTGAAATGTTTTGTTGTTCCACGGAATTATTGTAATTGTGTATTAGTAACTGCTGTGTTGATTGGCAGTTTCACATTGTGTTTTCCTGTTCTTAAGAATTTTCACTTAGGAAAATTAAGGCTGTGGCCACCTGTACTTGTAAGCCTTGGGTTTTAGTCCTGGAATGTCCCAAATGTATGTCTTTAGGGGTTTCTTTGGTTTGGGTTTGGGAATGGGGGGCCTAGAGGGGTTGGGTTTTTGTGTGGGTTTTTGGGCTGGTTGTTTTGGTTGGTTTTCTGGGTTTTTTTTTTTTTTTTTGAAAGAACACTAATGCTGTTTGAGGCACTGTTCTTCTAATAATTCTACGCTTCTATGGTAGAGGTGGTGATGAGCCCTGCTGGATGCAGGGAACAGCTTAGAGGGAAACTTGTAAAACCGCATTTGGGGTTTCTGTAATTACTGTACTGCCAGAAGGCAGCCCTGCCCTCGGCAGTGTTAAGAATTTGTTTCTTGTCCTTGTGTTGTTACTGGTATAAAGTCAAGTGCCTTCAATGCTAAAGGCTCAGAAAACTTTCTTAAACTGACTTCATGTCCTATGCAAGTGTTTTTCTACAACCTGCATAACCAGTACTTTGTAAAACTTGTTTACGCTTCAATTGTACATAGTGTTTTTTTAAAAAAAAAAATAGTATTTTTATTTAGGTACCTCCAAACTTGAATTCTAGTCTTGTGTGATGCATTGTAAAACAATACATTTCTCTTTTGAGTATCATTACAGTTGTAAAAAGGTTTTCACTGGTTCTATTTTTCTACTGTTGCTGAGAAGCATGTAACACTGACTTTACCCTACGTATAGTTGGCATTTCAAATAAATGGCTTGTATAGAACATGGTTGTGTGGCTGCTTCTCCTTGCTGCTGCTGCCTGGCTGCACCCACCACCCTGCCCTGCTCACTCCAGACTGCAGTGACTGGGGCTGGGGAAAGGAACTCAGCACTACAAACAGAAAGATGCCCGTCAAGTGTGAAGGCTTTTGGGGAAAAAAGGAACACCAAAGACGTGATATAAACCAGTGTAAAAGAGAGATTTGAAATTAGTTACTTTGATCAGGCAGTTAATAATAGCAGTTAATATCAGTAAAGTTGTTCTGTGAGTTCTGGCTAGAGCCTGACTCAGGGCATGTCTTGTTGAAAGGCAAGAGGGCTGCTCAGAGCTGGGCCTTGGGGTGCAGCCCTGGGTACAAGGAAGTGTGTGTTCATTTTCTCATCAGAGCAGCTGGACAGATGTGTTTGGTATCCAGCATTCCCAGATTGCAGTTTCCCTGCCCACTATTCCAGCTGACTATTCATTACATCTGTCTAAGAAACAAGTGCCTCACTGCTTCAGAGCCATGACTGAAATTGAGGACTGACATCTGGCCACTTGCCTGGTCTCACTCTGATGGACAAGAGCAAAAGACTGCAAGCTACATCCTGACACAGAGCACAGGTGGGTGAGGAGAGCTGGGCGGTCCCACATGTTAATTACTGACACCTTCACTCCCACATCCAGGAAGATGAGTTCTAGGAGCTTCCTAAATTAGACAGTTTTAACACTTTTTCTTACAGGCTTTCTGTCACTTTGCAACAGTGCTTCTAAGCCTGCCGACCTCAGAGGAGAGAGAGGATGCCTGGTGTCACTTGGCTAAGGGGAAGCTTTCACCATTGGAAAGAGGGACTATTGGAGCTGGGTACCTTGGGGTGGACCCTGCTTCAGTACAGGCTCATGCCAGGAACAGACAGTGCTCATGGTCACTTCTGGCCCTGTGCTCTTCAACTGAAGCCACAGGAATTCCACATTTGAACTCATTCCTTCCATCACTGCTGTATTTTCTCAAGCACAGCAAGGCTGGTGCAGGGCCATAAAGCATTTCTCTCATCACTGGGGCCTTCCACTGCTTTTTTTATCTGCTGTGGAAGACACAATTACCTTTAAGTACCCTCTTCCCCCACTCCTTCAGTGAATTACAGAAACTGCAACACACAGGAAACGTGACCTGTCCTGCTCCAAACTGTACTTACCAGCCGGCTGCAATCCCTTGTCTAGGAAACAAAAGTCTAGGAATCCGGGGCTTAACTAGCCCCCAGTATACTTGGTGGCTTGGCTAACAGGTCATCACAGGGCTCCCTGTCTGCCTAGATTGTGGATGGAAACAAAACACTGCAGCAGCACTGAGAGAAAACAAGACAGTACACAGTGAACAATTTTAATTTTTTTATATTGTAGTTAGATGTGCAGTTACAGCTCCCATAACAGTTGCTACCAAAAAAAAGAGCATGTACAATACTCAGAGTTAAATTTAAAAGCAACTAGGAAAGGGCCCTGGGGGTTTGATGACACATTGAGCATGAGTGAGTCAGCAGTGCCCTGGCAGCCAGGAGGGCCACCCATGTCTTGGGGTGCATCAGGCACAGCCCCACCAGCCAGGCAAGGGAGGAGGTTGTCCCACTGTGCTCTGTCCTCGGGTGGCCTCACCTCAAGTCCTGGGGGCATTTTTGGGCACCACAATATAAAATACATACAAAGCTGTTAGAGTGTCCAAAGAAGGGCCAGGACCTTGAAGGGCCTTGAGGGGAAGCCAGGTGAGGAGTGGCTGAGGTCTCTTGGTCTGTTCAGGCTGGAGGAGACTGAGGGGAGACCTCACTGCAGTCACAGCTTCCTGTGAGAGGAAGAGGAAGGGCAGACACTGATCTCTCTTGTGACCAGTGACACGGCTCAGGGAATGGACTCAAGTTGTGTCAGGGGAGGTTTGGGTTGAATATCAGGAAAAGGTTCTTCACTCAGCAGCTGGTTGGGCACTGGAACAGCTCCCCAGGGAAGGGTCACAGCGCCAGCCTGGCAGAGTTCAAGAAGTGTTTGGACAACACTTTCAGGCACATGGTGTGACTCCTGGGGTGTCCTATGCAGGGCAAGGAGTTGGATGTGATGATCCTGATCAGTCCCTTCCAACTCAGCATATCCTATGTTCTATGAAACTGCTCAGCTGAGCATCTATGCTAAACTACTGTTTGTAAATAAAGTGGTCAGAAACAGTTAATAGTGAGAATGGTAAGAGTCTACCTTTGCTTTTCAAAAACCATTAGCATGGAAGCAGAATAGTACCCCATGATATACAAATCCTCAAAAACTAGAATTTTAATGTATGTTTTCAGGTCTAACTACATTAGGCTTCAAACTTAGAAAATCTTAATTTTTAATTTCAGCTAAGTGTAGTCTTAAAAGTCAGTGAACTATCTCCTGTCCCATGATTATCACAGTGGTTATAAAAAGAACATTCCATACTGTACCAAAATCCCAGGATGCTGCACTGTTTTCAGCAACATTTATAAAGTAGAAGAATTTGCTGTAGGCTAGTTTTTAAAATTAAAGCATATAACAAAACCCCCCATGCTTAGTTTGTAATTTAGTACCTCCTCCTAGCTATTGTTTATGTTCTGAGGAGTGAAATAAGATCATCTGACAATTTTTTTGCCATGGAAACCATCCCTGTGCAATACTAGAAGTAAGTTTTTTTAATGTATAAAACCAGATGGAACAATCTGTTGCATCAAGCCCAAGCTCTGTTTTCCCATTTGTGAGCAGCCCGGGGAGGGGGCAGGCAGCAGCGCTGGGTTCAGCCACAGCCAGGCCCGTCCCAGCCCTGAGGAGCCGCGACAAGGCAGGAACAGGCACCTCCTCGGTGCTGGGGCTCTCACCAGCATCGCTGCAGCCCCAAGGGAGGAGACAGAGCCATTCCCGCAGGAAAGCCGGGAGTGTTCCCTGCCGCCGAGGGCAGGGCGGGGCCCGGGTGGGTTTAGCACAGCCACGGCTCCAGACCCTGGCAGCAGCCAGGAGAGGTGAACACAGGGAAGCAGCAGGACACACTGCTCCGGGAACAGCCCTCCTCCCCTGGAGACAAGGCCGGCTTTCACGGCAATGCCAAGTCGATCGGTACTGAAATCCCTCTAAGCACAATGTAAAGATTTGTTAAGAACTTGTTTTAGGTGCTACAAATGAAGTATAAGACAAAATGATGATATTTCTTGGACAGCTGGATTTTGATGAGAAGCCAAAAACTGAAGATGCCTTTTCTGTTTGCCAGTGAATATGTCCTTTGAGACCCAAACCCTCTCAGTCTAACTACAGTAGTACTGCATCCTGTTAGTCCGTCGCCTTTTCCGAGACTGAAATTCTTCAAAGAAGTGCTGAATGTCTTCTCTTTTAACCACCTAGGAGAAGCAGTATGAAACCCAAGTTGTGGTGCAAGAGCTTAATTAAAGGATCCTGTTTTATCTCCACACATAATATACAAAGCATAGAAAAGCAAATACCCTGAAATTTCTCTGGTACAGCTTTACTGTTGAATCCGAAGGAGAGGATTAATGCCCAAATTCTATTGTAGATAATACAAAGAGGGGAACGAGTTCCCCAAAGGCAGAATAAACACATGGAGCAAAGCTCCCAATCGTATTTTAATGACTTTGGCCGCTTGCTCACTTCAGGGTCATTCCAATGTAACTAAGAATGGCAATACAGCAAGTCAGCCAACAAAATGCAAGTGTTACTTAATAATAGCATGCAAATTCCTGCAGGAAAACAACTGACAAGACCGACAATCATAATCAGTCCTTATTCTTCTAAGGGCTTAGATTCACTTTAAGAAAACCCAGAAAAGTTAAGAGCTTTTCTTCCTGAATATCTTACCCAGAGCAACAGAAGTTTCATTTAAATGTAAGCACTGCTCTCAGTACCTTGCAGACAGATTTCTGTAAAGTTCCCATTATCTCTCGATAATGTCATTATGGAATTGTTAAACTCGAGTGAAATAAGGGATTTCTGATTTTTACTGCAGTACCAGCAACTCCAAGAGACATGAAAAAACATTACATCATGGTATTACAAAACAGAACATCATGGTATTCACCACCCAGCCCTCAACAGTTCTTTAAAACACATTTTCTGGCAAATAAATTCTGTAAGTTGCACCTTACCGTTCCCTCGTCTGCAAACCTCCTGAGATAGTCAGTCAGTTCTGTCTTTAAATCATTGTATTCTGGATGGCAAAGCAGAGGCAAAGAAAACAAAAACAGTAAGATACCCAGTTTTAATTTAACACTGGCTCAAGAACACAACTTCCTCTTGTCATTTGTTAGGTTTACTTCAGACAAATCTAGGTTTTGATTATTATTAATAATAATAATATTAATAAAATGTAAACATGAGAAGCCTAATATTTTATGAGACTAATCTACGTAGTCTGAGGTCCCTTCAGGTCGACTTCAGAGAAAGGTATAGAAAGATCATTGAGTGAATTAGTACCATCAACGAAAAGACTGCCCCTGCCAGCTTGCCCCTGCAAAAGCATGTGTGGGTGGTGGTGGAAAGGCCCAGCCTGTAACTCAGGACAGAGACACTGTCCTCGCCAGAGGGCAGAGCCCTGACTGCAAGACAGAAACAGCTCCAAGCACGAAACCTCAGCACTGCCTTGCCACTGTGCTCTGCAGCACAGCTACAGGGGACGCCTGGCTGGCACTGCCCAGCCAACAGAAGACTGCCAAACAACAGAACAGGGCAAGATAAATCAGCCAGACAGCAGAAGTTCAAATTAATGTTAAAATATTCACGTTACAAAAAATCACTATCATTATAGTATCTAAGATGTTAAACAGGGTGAAAGTTCACACACCATCTAGTGTCTCACTGTATATTAAAGTTGTAACAATGGGCCAGAGACAACCAATCCTGACTTTGGTATGCAACCTGTCACACAGTTGTCTGCATGTTACTTAAAAAATAGTTTGACACTGCACTACAAGGCCTGATATCAATCTCTTTGTGGCAAACTGTTCAGTTAAAGTGTGTTAAGGCAGATTCTAAAAATGAAGTTGTATTTACCACAGATGAGTTCCACTTGCTGGACTCTGTTCATACTGTTAAGGGTGTCCATTAAAGGATCTCTCCTTTCCGTCTCTTGGTCACTGGTGCCCTTATTTTCATAAGCCAAAACAGTGTCACATTCGTCTGTCAGGAACTGGACTTCAAGTTCTGAATACATTTTCTGGAGAATAAAGTAAAATTTACTTTTATGTGACAAAACTTCTCAGATGGAGATGCTCTCCCCTGATCCTTGTTTTGTTCAATATCACAAATAACAACAATAAAAATAATGTGAATCTGTATCCAGTATTTCAGAATCTCCATATAACAACTTCCAAGCAATACTGGATTTAAGCAGCAAGGAAAATACAAACATTTTGAAGCTCTTTCAAGCTATACTACTTCCATAGGATTCAGTGTGAATCTTTATGTTTCAGCATTAAGAATATTTACACAGATTTTACCTAAAGCTTCTCAGTGATTGTCTGGAAGATCCTCCTTGCCTCTCCCACACCTCTGATGGTAATGAAGAGAACATACATACCAAACAGTCTTCACAAGTGCATAATTTGCTCCTCCAGTTCGATGGCCAAAAGGTGGCAGTATCTTTTTTTACAAATGGCTTGCTTTGGAGCTCTTTCAGCTTGCAGACTGGCTCCTCACTCTTAGGAACTACCTGAATTAAAATGAGTGTTCAGTATTCTGTAACATCACTTCAAAGAGACCCTGTTCCTTTTGGTATGTCCTTTTCCTTAGGCAAGAATTTTCTTTTGTCTCAAAAAACAAATTTATTTTTATAAACAACCTTTATTACCATCCACTTGAGAATTCTGATGTGATTTCAGCAATTTCCAAGGGAAATTTCTGTAGAAATTTACTACAATAGCTGTAAGTATTTAAGAACTCAGAACTTGACCATCATGCAAGTGCGGCTACATCATGTATTAGAACAAACAGAAGTCACCTCAGTGTACTGCCAGGTGGCTGAGAAGAAAGGACAGATGTAGCCCATCTGCAAACTGACATTACATCTCCTGACAGCCCTGTTCCATAGACTGCAGGTCTGACGGGTCACACTGCAGGTGACTGAAGTGGAACATGGGAACAGACTGACACAGCACTCCTTCCCTGAGTCTGTACTGAGCAAGGTGGGCTGCACTACAGCTATCAGCAGCGTGAAGATGTGCACGTCAGAAAAAGAAGGCACATTTTACCTCAGGACAGGCAGATCCAGAGCTAGTGGATGGTTCATTAAATTGTTCCGATTGCTTTTCCTCCTTTGTGTCATGGTGTTCCACTCCACTTTCTTTTTTTATTTCTTTCTTCTGCTCTTCATTTTCCTCTACCTTCAGGACAATCCCTGCATCTTCAAGGGAGTTTGCTTTGGTCAAAGGAGGAACTGGAAAATACATACCCACAAGTAAAAACACTGTGCCAGAAAAAGTACAGGTCACTACAGATGTTCTGCTTCTCCTGCTCTAAAACACTCTGCTTCCCAAAACCTAAGCCCTAGGAGAGGGAAGAGGGTATCACAATTTGAGAGTTCTTTACTAAGATGCTTGTCTTTCTTGACACCCCTTGCTAGCTATCACAGTTTCAGTAATTGTCATGTGCTTTTTTGCTGACTGTGTCAGAGTTTTCCATTTTCTCCAAATACCTCAAAAACACCACCACAGATTACCTACGCTAATCTTTTATTTAATTAAAACAAGTTTCTGTTTTGATGCCAATTCAAGTATGTGACCTGTGACAAAGCTGGCTAGAAGGAAGAAAATCAAAAACAGACAAACACCCCGTTCTGTACTATTTACATTGTAAGGAAAAGAACTGCAGGAAGCCATCCTTGAAAATACCATTGAAATTTTGGGCACCCAAGAAATCTATGAGCAATTGATACAAGCAGTATTTTTTAGGAAACTATGAGAAACTAGCTCTTTACAGTGAAATCAAGAGAGGCCTGGTGAGAGACCTGGTGCAACCACAGGGAATGTGTGTCCTGAGCACAGCCCCAGCCCTACCCAGAGTAACATTAAACTTATCCATTTCAAGTCACTCTATCATTCACTCTTTGCTGCTCAGACCATCTGTAAGAACTGTTTGTCTCACTGCTTCCCTCAGGATGGCTCTTCAGTTCTTTGAGCCAGTTTCGAAATTAAGTTCCTTGAGTCAAGTATTAAATCTTCTTCCATTTTGTGCTAGATATCTTTAATAAAGTAACTAAAAACAAGCAGCACAGAATTAAGATTTAAGAATGAAAACTGCTTTTTTTTAACACAAGTTACTGCTACCCCACATGTTCCACTGCTGAAAGTGATTGTCCAATATAATTAATGAGTATCATTTTTCCAATCATTTAAAACCAGTATTATGCCATTAACCAACCATGTATGAGAAATACATGCTCATAAAATACTGGTTCAGGTCTCTTAACATTCTTTACCTGCTAAATGTGATGCGTAAGCCCATAGGAAATGGCAATGTTTCATGCAGGCCTGGCACACCATTTCATGGAAGTCTCCACTTTCAGGGGGAACTGCACCAAGGTGCTGTCAGAAAGAAGCAAGCACACAGTAGTGAAGCATCCATATTGATCATATACTGAACTTGAGAAGAATTAAGTCCCAAAGCTGTCCATAAATTGATGGGAACTATCTGGGCAATTAAAAGCACTTAGTAGCTTTCTTCTGAAAAAGCATTCGTGCAAAGCTCATAGGATGCAGCACAACACTCTTCATTCATACACTTATTACAAAAGAAGTTTATCTATAAGAACCCATAACTGAAGCCAATCATATTACTTTTACTCTTTGATCCTGCAACTTCAAACACAGAATTTCACTTTGCCCTTCAAGGCACAAGAGGCTGAATCCTTAATGCTTACTCATTAAATAGGGCACTCACTACAATGCTTGGCTGCTTTCAAAAGACTTCCCCAAAGTTTGAAATCAAGAATGAACAGCACAGTCTGTTCCTTGCTACTTAAAGAAATTAAGGGTTTAAAAAGTATTATTTAAAGGAAGAACTATTCGGGTAGTTGATAATGATGTGCCTCAGTAAGAATCTTTTCCTCACCAACTATACTGATATGAGTTTTCTAATTAAAGTGACAATTATAAAGTTATTACTCTATTCTGCAGTGGAAACCTTCAAAAAGGTAGGACTCTTCCCAGTACTTTCTAACTGGAGTGGACAGCAGTGCAAGATTAGACTTTCAGTGCTCCTTTGCATAAGCTGAAAACAAATGCATTAGAACTCATGCAATAATCTCTTTTGAGAACTACAACAAACTTCCCAAGTAAGAATTACCTTATAAACCCAACCAAAACCAACTCATTCCTGTGCAAATGGCAGTTCTGCTATTTATAGTTTCCTTACCCTTCCATGGAACCAGTCTTCACAAACTATGCATTGGATCATCTCATCTGGAATCTAGATGAACAATCATATTATTAGCATTAATAGCAACCTCCAGAATCTTTCATAAGTCTCCAGCTGCAGTATCATGCAAACCCTGCTCAGTGAATTGCATTTCTCTCTTCATCTCTCACAGGGAGCTGCTGTTAATAAGTAGTTAGTGCTTTGTTACACAGTTTGCTTCCTGCAGGGTCAACAGCACGCCATCTCTCATATGACTGAGGCTTTGGAGATCCCATTTATTACTACAAAACCAGTCTTCCCAGCAGGGCAAGACTTTCTCACAGAAAGCTGATAAAAGTTAATACACTACTGGTATCCTTCTTCCTATATGCAGAAATGCACGAACAGACAGCTCAGCAGAAAAAAGATACTGGTATTCACACTGTCATCAGGTCTGTGAAAGATGCCAGAACCAAACTTAACTGGTCACCATACAGGACAGTATGAAGTGCTTTGCTATGAAACAACTATTAATGATTTCTTCAGAAATGTTTTTTGCTGTCTCTGAACTTCAGAGAGGGGAGCTTATAAAATGCTTTTTTTTTTTTTTTATTTGAAAGACTTGTGCCTTCCCTGTACTTTAAAACACCTGATTTCTGTGTCTACAAACAACAGCACGCATGTGCAAATCCAGGATATGTTCTAGTATTTCAGAGAGACAAAAAAGTGTTCTGGCTACAAGCAAGGATTGTAACTAGTGCTGCAAGACAGGACAGACTCTCGCCATCCCAGAAGCCTTGGCAGAGCATTGCTGCAAGCATGGGGAAGCAAGTTCTGGTCTCTCCTAACACATGCAATGCATTTACTCTGTACTAGTCACATTTCTCAAGATGATGATAACCCTGTCCCCCAGGGGAACTCTGCAACTTCAGGGACCTGCAGCACCATTTTGTCCAAATGATGTCTTGTCCTCCTCATCTGTCTCTAAGGCATAAACATACTTTACCATTTAAAAAAAAAAATTATCAAGTAATTACTTCAAACAACACATGACAACCAATATGGAATGTAAGATTTCTTGCAGTGGGATCTTCCTTGAAAAGCAGATCAGTGACCCCTCTTCACACAGAATCTAACATAAACACCATCTATGTATGATTACTGGATTTTGTATTTCTTACCTCATCTTCAGGATCAGGGTAAGGTCTTTTACACGTACAGTACAATCCATAGAAATTGTCATTATATTTATTTCCTGAATTCACCTTGCCTTTTTCCTAGGAGAAAAGGGGAAAACGTCTCAATAGACAACACAGTAAAAAAGACACTAAAAACACAGTTTACCCATTCCCCTTTAATTCCTAAAAGCATCATTATTTCCATCAGCCTGAATATACAAAAAGAAATATATTCTCCAGACACCTCTGCTTTACACTGAGCAGTAGATAGGGCACATGAGGAATGCTAAAGCTCCAAAGTAAAGAGCAGAAACAGTCTGCTCACCTTTGTAACACATGGCAGTTGTGGTGTCAGACAGATTGATTAATGGACAGATGCTGAAGCTCACTTAACCTGTGCAACTTAATTTTTACTGAACAGAAGCAGAAGGAACAACCATGTGATCCATTTCATTGACTCAAATGAGAAATGGTAAAATCTTAAAATTGTCACAGGTGTCTCTGGAGGGATCACTGCACTGTGAGTTTGCTGACTAGCTCTGGATTCATTTCAATTCTCCCAGAACAAAACAGACAGACACAAAACCACTGTGTTTCGATGTCTGGACTGGTGTTATTCTGGCAGCACCACTGCAAGCCAGCCAAGCAGTATTCTGTTGCTGCTTCCCAGAAGATTGCCAGCTACTTGACAAGTTGAAAATGCCCAAGTATAAAAGTACAGACAGCTTAATACAATAAAAAACATCCTATCAGTAAACTCCAGTGACAAAATATTAGGGCACTAATGCAACCACAAAGAAAGAAAATGAACTATCCCTCTGACAGCAGCACAGCCTTAAATTTTCTTAATGCAACTTCAAAATTGCACCCCAAAAGGTTACTCTGAAACAGCTTAAGGCTAATGAGGTGTATTAGTGGAGAAACACCACAACCTGCTGGAAGTGCACTGATCATTGATGCAGAACTGCTGTACCCATGGATGGCAAGGATGAAATATTCCTTCTCCTCCCAGCATTTCCCTTTGGTCCCTCAACAGTTTTATACCTTACCGTAATATTCCCACCTTTTTTAACCTCCTGGGAAGACTGGAGGCATCGCACGAGTCAGCAGTGGCTGAGGCAAGGCATCAACCTCTCAAAACCTTTATTTTGACTCTGACTGCCTGAAACTTGTCTGAACTTACCGGGAGTAACTTGCACTGCAGATTTTTGAACTTGCTATTTCCACAGTCACAGCGGAAATTCCTGGAAAGAAAAACGTAGCGTTTTATTAAGTAGCGTTATATTAAGTGAGAACACGCTGGGTTTTGTATTCTTAACAATTCCCAGAAGTTTATCGAGAGCTGTGAGGCTCCTACTCGGTCGCTCGCGCCCCCCCGCCGGTACCTCTTGGTGTAGAGCTCGAAGAGGCGGTGGGTGCCGTGGCACTCGTAGCTGCAGGCCAGGCAGATCCCCGCGGGCTCGGCGCCGGGCGGCGTGCAGGTGCTGCAGGCGTACAGCGCCTGTCGCTTCACGGCGCCCTGCGGGAGACACCGACCGCCCACGCCATGAGGGGCGCCGGGGCAAGGGGGGCTGCCCCGCCCCGCGCCACAGGCCCCGCCCCGCGCTGTGACCACGCCCTCAAGCCCCGCCCCGGCCCCGCCCCTCGGGCCCGGACCCAGGCCCCGCCCCCAGGCCGCAAGGCCCCCGGCCCCGCCCCCACCTGTGAGTAACTGCAGCGCTCGTGGTCGCTGCCCCCCAGCACGGCCCGCGCTTCCTTCTCCAGCTCCTCGTTCTCCGCCAACACCTCCGCCAGGGACACCACGGGTTCCTCTGCGCCGCTCCCGCCGCTCCCCGGCTCGGCGCCCTCCGGAGCCGCCGCCTCCATCGCCGGGCCGCGAAGGCCGAGGAGCGCGAAGCGAGGCGGGAAGCCCGAGCCCGAGGAGGCGCCAGGGGGCGCCACAGCGGAAGCGGAATCGCGCGTGCCCCACGTGACCGTGGGCGGTGTGTCACAGCGGGGCGGGGCGATCCGCGCGCCCAGCACGTGACCGGCGGGGCAGGCACGTGAGGGGCGGGCGGTGATGGCGGACCTGGTGGGGGACGCGGACCCGGGCCTGGGGCGAGATCTGGTGGCGGAGCTGCGATACCGCGACGGGCGGACGCGGACGGTGCGGGTGCCGTACCCGGCGGCGGAGGAGGGCGAGGCCGCCCAGCTGCGCGGGCTCCGGGCGGCCCTGAGCGAGCTGCAGGAGCGGGTGGTGGAGCTGCTGGCGCCGCTGGTGCAAGAGGAGCAGGCGGCGGCGGGCGGCGCGCGGCGCGGTGAGTGCCGGAGGGGACGCGCTGAGGGGGCCCCCCCGGCCCTGGGGCGCCGGCCGCGCCCCGCACCGTTCACCCGCGCCCGTCCGGACTCTGGCAGGTGGTGGCGGGGATGACGACGACTACGATGATGACGAGGAGGATGACGGCGAAGACGAAAATAACGTGGACGCGGCGGCGAGCGGCGATGACCCTCCCCTGAAGCGGACGAAGGTGCAGCAGCCGTGAGGGCGGCGCTGGATGCCGGGTCTGTGCCTAGCCAGTCCCGTTCGGCTGTACCGACTGTAAGTGTCCCGGGCCCGCTGCATGGGCCGGTTCCTGCGGCGCTGCTGTTCCTGTTTAAATGCGAAATGTCCATCCCGACAGTGTTTTTCCGAAAGGATGTGCCTGGGTGTGAGCAGCGTTGTGCTTACGGGGTGCTAGTGTTATGCTGGCACATTTTTTTGCTAAACTAGTTGACAAGTATAAAACTTTTTTCACAAATCTTCTGATTATTATGTTTTTTAATAACTTATTCCGAGTCTCAGTATTTCTGCGACACCATTCTTAAAATAAAGCAATAAAACCTGAAAAGAGTTACTTTTTCAAATATGATCTTTAAAAGTAAAAGACAACTTGTGTTTCTGTGGAGAAAAAGCAATATAAGACCACTATAAGTATCACAATTAACAAGCGTGTAGAGGACTGTGCCCGTTCCTGTACCATCCTACAGTGGAAGATTATTTTTGGCTGTCATCTTCAAGGTTTAGTCACCTATCAATCAAGAACGCCTTTTTGAAAACACTCTTGATAGTTAGTCCACAGAACCTAAGAGTGTTCTCTACCAGAATTTAACTGCCTGAATGAATAGTGCAGAAGGCATTTGGGGGGTTATTTTCATTTCTTGTGTTCTGGCACAGTTTGTTTATATATTATGGAAACAGTAAATCTTGAGACTTATATATGTAGGACAAAGTGTGGAAATAAATGAACTTTTACGAGGACAAAATTGTCGGCATTCTTTTGAAATGCAGGGAGGAGTCAGAAATGAGGTCCAGTAAATCTATCTTGACATTTATGTGCTCAGCGACTCTAAGATACTCTGTTGGCATATGGAATAGAGGCATAACTGAAAAGACCAACTCAAAAGACTAAGGAGGTTTAGTTGCTGAGAGTGAGAAAATTACACTTACTCCAATCTCTTGTCAGGCTGCAACACCATGAAGTGATGAAATGCCTTAAGTGTTCTAAGGTAGAGAATTTATTGCAGGAAGTCTCTTATCAAAATGACAAAGGCAACATTTTGTACAAAGAAATAGTCTGATAAATATATCAGAAAGGAGCTCTTTCACATGATCTGTGTTAAAGTAATGACATCTATGAGCTTTATTCCGCAGCTTTGAAAGCTTCTACACCTGCATCTGAGAGCAGTGTTTTTCCTCCAGACAAACCCTCCAGAAATGGTATGAACAGCGTGGTGGCTGAAAAGCAATTAACATTGGGCAAGAAGTTGTGGCCTTTACCTATAAACTGTGTAAACAGTCCACTGGCATGGCATGGGCTGAAAACCTTTGGTCTAAAGCAACAGACCCTAATTTAGCACAGGAATAAGTGCAGGTAACTTTCCAATAACGGGATACTTTTTTTTTTTCTGTCAGCCTGGGCACAGGAGTATGCTGCACTTGAGCTCCAGAGAATACCAACGAGTCAAAAATTAAAACTCAAAATTTGTGCCTTTAAAGAATCCTTGCTAGTCCTTATTGTAGCTACCAAAACTTTCAACTGACAAAAAGAGCACTGGAGCTTCAGAGGACCTTATGCATTTCAATTTGTAGGTTTGCTTGTGGAAAAAGTGCCCTAACTGAACAGATTTCATTTTTCCTCAGAGTTGCTCAGGTGCAGGAAGCTTTAGTGAAGGTTTAGTGAAGTTTAGGAAGCTAAGTCAACTGTAACCATGAATTTTAGGCAGCGGAGGTAAGCTTCAATGGAAAAGAAGATGCTGTATTCTTCACCTCAGAGAGATGTAGTGCTTTTGTACCTAACCAACCTTCAAGTGGGCAGAGAACAAGCTCAGTTCACCACATGTGCACTGTTCAGTGCAGTTTGTATGTCTTACTAATAGAACTTGGTTTTACTGACCCAAGGAGGCCCAATGGATTTCTTCCCTAAACCAAACGGGAGAAAGCTGGTATGTTTGTTTGGAATTAAAAAAGCTTATGTGATACTAAGTTCTTGGTAGTATTTAGATGAGAACCAACTACTTTTACTGGTTACAAAACATTACAACAAAAATGTCAAATCATGTCTCCTTCACAAAGGCTGGGATTACGTGATGTACTCTATTATTACCGTTTTGAAATATTGAATTTGCTGATTCAAACAACTTTGAGGCTAAATTAATGAAGGAACTTAACAGGTGACAGTGTTCTGTGTGAAAAAAAAAAAAAAGCTTTAAGTCTCAAGGCACTCAGTTACGTGAGAGGAGGCAATCCCATTATGCCCAGTAATTGGGGCATTGTCTAAAAGTGCAGTACCTTTCCTAGCTCCCAGGAGAGAGATCCACACTCATTTTCATTAAAGGATTTGAATGCCATTCACCCATGGCAGCCCATTTAATTCCCACTCACTCCATCTTAAAAGGTAATTTATACACAAGCTATTAGGAGTATCAGATTCTCTGTAAAATACCCAGTAGTCTGGCAACTGGGACATGGGGCTTAATTTGTGGTGACTACGTTAGAACTCAGCAGTGTGAACACCTGAGCAGTGGTTCTGTCCACATGCACCAGCCAAATGGACTAGACATGGGCCCTGAGGACTGAGTTGAGCAGAACTTTCTTATGGTTGTAGCATGTTCTTTCTTCCCAGAAGAAACCTGCACCATAGGGGTATCTTTAAAGACAGCTAAGGTAAGTCAGTTCTTAAAATTTAACTACATGATAAAATTACTAAACTGCTTTTGTGCATTAGATCATTTGTAGAAAAGTGGTTCTCATCAAAGACTGTGACATAAAAAGCAGGATTTTTAAAACTAGTAAGAGAAACTAAAGAGTATCCTTTTAAGAAAACAGTGGACCAGACAAGAGAAAATAAGGAGAGTTAATTGATATTCTCCACCAACTGTAAAGTTTTGTTCCAGAGATAAATCCATCTTCATATTTTTAATTTAAAAAAGGAATCAAATTTGCAGTCCTACATTCCTGCTGGAGGAAACATGTCATAAGGAACACACTTTATTGTAACTTACTTTTGTCCAAGTTTGAAGGGCTGCAGCCTCATGTTATGCTCTTCACTGGACCTGCTCCCCCATGGCAAGAAGGGAAGAACAGGGTCAGCGTCACAATTATGCGGCAGACACATTCCTAAGATGGGAAGGGACTGTCAGGTGAAGGTCAAGCAGCTAAAGAAACTAACACTGAGACTGCTCAAGTGATTTTCAAGCAGTCTGACAATGCTTTATCTTGTGACACGAATAAAAAGAAATCCAGGGTAAGTGGCATACACTGATCATTAATCACCCTTGCAGCTACTCACTTTGTTGGCAGAACATTAAAGCTCAGAACGTTGCAAAACTTCAAGCTTGATTATCCCAAAAGGTTGTAGATGATGTCATTTTCTGTTACAGGCAGGTCTTTGGTGACTCAGATAATCAGCCTTGACAATACCTATAAATTTTCAGAATAATCAAGCTAAAAGTTATTTCACTACTTATTTTTTAAATACTACAGTAAAAACCAATTTATCATTAATTTTTATATTCTTTATTTACCCTGTAGGTAAGATTTCACCTGTTGATGTTCCCCTGGTGCCAAAAATGCTGGAAGCACCAGCAGAGCTAACTTAGCTCTTCTCCCATTGTCTAGTATTTGTATACAATATGTTAATAGTTCTCCACTGCTGCTTTCCACGTCCAGCTCAAATCCTTACACACACAGCATTTGCTTGAATTAGACTGTGTGTTTTCTCTGTAGTTAGTTGCAAAGCACATGCTTGTCAACAGCTGTAATCCAAAACTAGGCTTCTGATGGAAAATTCTAGAACACGAGCCTCCATTTTGCAGGTCCCTGCCATGTCCAGCACATGTCCACATCCAGACAGCTTGGGTCATCCCACCAGGCCTGCTAGTGAATTTGCTAAGGGTCACATGCTTGCATGACAAAATGAGGCAGTTCTTCCTATCATTTTCTATTTTTGACGCTTCCTCTTATGCTTTTGGCTGTTTAAATCATCAGCACACAATATAAACTGTTCAGTTTAAAACTACAGCATCAAGTTAAAAACAGTCCAGCTAGAGGTAGAGATATCACTCTTACACAAAATTAAAGAAACAAGGGGATTCAGTTTCATCCAGGAAGCCCTGAAATTTCAGGCTACAAACGAGTAATTAGGGCACAGAGCATTAGACACGCACACAAAGGGAAGGACATGAACACAGGCTCCAGCAACTGACGGCCAGCACTGCTGTCTGGCACCAAACATGCAAAAAAATCCACTAAACCAAAAACAACAAAAATGAAAAGCTATTGATAAGTATTTGCATTAATAGACTTGTGTTTATAAACATTGAAAAGTTTTTATTTTATAGATAAATAGCATGGTGATTTTAAAACTTGAGAAACAACACAACTTAAAAGCTCTGACTCCCCAAGACACTAACTACTCGTCAGAGTTTATAATTTACTCTTACTCCAGCACACTAAGATGGCAGCTTCCTCCTTTTCATATTGCACTTAGAACTCAAAACCTTCTTGCAAAGGCTACATTGTTTTCAGGTCCTAGCACCAACGGTGACAATTGAAACCAGTGTCTCCAAGTATCTCCAAGTGCAAACAGAAAGTTTAAGGTGTTGGAACTGCCGTGCTTAAACACAGCAACACTGAAAATAGGGTTCTCTTTCCAATGCTAGAGAAAGACAACACTCTAGGATTCCCTTAAAGCAGTCAAAAATGGATTAACATTTGATTAGGTATGGACAATCACATTCAGTTGAAGTTATAGTCAAGGAGTTTAGCTCATAATTCTTTTGAGCCTACTGCTTCTGAGAAGTGTATTTTGCACTGTTTTCGTATTTGTTACTTCCATCATGGCTGGGACAAACATTTAGTTATTCTCAGAAGAAACAAAAATGGACAGAAAGAAAGAACATATTCAGTCTTATTCAAAATATGCTATTCCAAAATAGCACTGAAAAATAGAAGTTGAAACTATGGCAAAGAAATCTCAGTGGAATTTCAGTATGACTGAAGAAATTTGCATTCATTACAAGAATGAGAAGAAGGTATCTTACTTCTTTGAATTTCTGGAAGAAACATGATTATCTGTCTTACAACGAGTTTGTAGCATTCCCCAACCAGTTAAGTTTCCCAAATTCAAAGTTTTTCCTAATATATCAGTTCTCCTGGAACATGGTTTTGCATGATGTCTGGAGTGACATTAGAATGGTCGTAAATTTCAGTAACTTGTAATTTTATCAAGCAAGACGATAGCAGAACAACACGAAAGAATTTTTGTGCAGACTACAGGCCAATGCCAGCATAGGCTGCTTTTGATGTCATAGGAACAGTTTAAAGCACCAAGTTTCAGGCCTATGCCACTCCTCACAGCCTGCCTACTGCAGTGTGCGACTGGTGGGTTGACTGAAAACAAGTAGGCTACCACAGGAAAATAATTTCCCTTTAAAGGTTTGCACAAACTTTATTCTTTGCTTCCTGTTTTTGTATCTAAACTTATTTTTTAAAAATTCATTAAAAACAGCACTGATGTAGATAATAAAAAAAAAGAAAAAGCAAAGAATTGTGTTAAGTGCAGCTTTTATAATCACATTCTTAATTTCTTTTTTCCTTTTACATTTACCACAAAAGAAGTATCTTTTCATTGATTTCACTCCAAGGGAAAACATAAGAAATCACTTTTTTGCACAGAGGAGTCAAGTTGTGGACCAGAAACTTGTTTCCCCACAGGACATTTCAGATGGAGTCACAATTTTGCATCATTAAGGCAAAATGAGGAATACTTCCATCACGTGTCACACAGGGCTCTCCCACTCTGGCCACTTCATAGATCCATAATTAAAAACCTTGTAGTTACTTGTTTGTTTTAAATAGAAAACAGTCACTCTCTTCATTGCTTATCAGTTTGAAAGAAAAGGCTCTTTCCGGCCTTCACTCAGAACTTCAGTCTTGTGATTAGATCGAGCATATGCAATCGCTTCAAATCAGCAACAGAAAACAGAAGTTGAGCTAAGTGTCAATCAGTTGTAATCTACTGATCTGATTAGAGGCCTTCACAAATGTTTGGTGACGATTGCAAATAACAGCCAAGCAGATAGGAATGATGCAATACCCCACAGTTTTGGGGTCAGCTCTTGTACAGGAATAGAGGAACAAGAACATCTGTAAATATGGTATTAAAAATATTATCGTCCACAGCCAAAACGGCAAGGATAGCAGTCGTACTTTTAAGGAGTGTGTCCATGTGGTTCCTTCCTGTGGTTCCTTGGGGTGTTGCTGAATGTGCTCCAGTGCTAGTTTGTTGTAAGTCTCATTGATTTCAAAGACGTAATAAAAAGCTGCAGCACTTGCTAACAAGTATAGCCCCACACCAATCCAGCCCATCCTCTGGCGGAAGTTCATCATTCTCCATGCTCTGCACCTGAAACAAAAGGCGACATAAACATTCAATACAGCTTGGAAAAAGGGGACAGATGAACCTTGGTTTTCCTAAGTTAACTTTCTATAACTTTCCATTACACATCAGTTTCTGAAGACCTGAGTTTTCTCTACATCATAGAAAATCATTACTCTGCCAGCAACAGGTTAATGGCAACAACATAAGAAGCTCCACTGATGGCTCTGGATAATTCAGGGCCTGCTGGCTATCAGGATATAGGTGGCTAAAGTCAGGTACTCGGGGAACAAAAAAAAGGTCATCAACTGGGTAAGTTGCTTACCCCATCTGCCCTCAATGTCTCTAGACAAAGAATGGGGATAATGAAACTTTCTATGTGAAGTTTGGAAAGTTCTTTGATGCCTGCAAGACAAACATGCCGCTAAACAGGCAGTAACAGTGCCATCACTGCTTGTCTGTGGTGCAGCTACAGTTGTATTAAGCTCTAGCTGAGTGTCCATTTATAAACCACAGAAAGAGATGTTTTCAATTTGAACATGAAGTTCAAGGGTTAGGCTGTACTATAGGTATGTACTTGCACACGTGAAGGTGCTATAGCCATGTTACTTGCTCCTAACCACATTCTGGCTGTCCCTGTGCCACAGGCCTCCCAGAAGAACTGAGCTACACACCTGCACTGCTCAATGCCTTGGTGCAGAACAAACTAGGCAATCACCATCAGGCATTCTTCAGAAGAAGCACAAATTATTGGAAATAATAGTGGGCTCAATTTGAGCTGCTTCAATTCTCCACCTGGCTGCAGAGGTCTAGGTAACTGGAAAGACAATTCAAACCAGTCACACTCCGGCTGGAGTACCACCACACAAATGGTCATCACCTCTTTCCCTCCAAACAGCCTTTGCACAGGGCAGGAAGAACCACTGCTTCTCTGCACCTGATTATCTCCAAAAAAAAAAAAAAAAAAAAAAAAAAAAGCCTTTCCCACTTTTACCTTTACTACCTTTTCCTTGAGAGGGGTAAAATCCATCTATGTAGTGCTGTTTTAAGAAAATATATCGGGCCTTTAATATACCAGGCAGAAATGCTTACTGAAAAAGGAATTATGCATAGAAAACAGTAACGATTCATGGCAGCATTAGAGAATTTACCATAGATACAAAATCATTATACCATTCTAAATCACTCTTTCTGAGCCAGACTAATCTGCCAGTTTGATTGGCAATCCTGAAAAATTTACTTCCTGGTTTTACATAACTGAGGGATATCCTGACATGACAGAATCTGATCAAGGGAGCCCTGGAGAAATTTTTCAGGCCCTCAGACTGCTGCATTCATGTTGGCGAAAAGAGTCAAGCATACAGGGACATAAATACCTGCGAAGGAACAGTAAATACCTAAGAAGGAACAGTAAATACTCGAGAAAGCTATTGCAGACTTAAATAATGGCAAGTTCTCGTTCGGCTGATCCTTCTATAAAACTCAGCTGCACGACTCCCTTTATTACCCCGAGTCAATACGTTTAGTAGCACAACTGAAAAATTCGTGAGAGGAGCTGTTAATCCACAAGGTAAAAACTTGAACCCCAGGTCTGCGTTTACCCGCTAAATAAGCAAGCCACTGGCTGTTTTTTCCAGCAGTCCGGCATATCCGAGCTGGCTCACGAGTTGTCGCCTTCGAGGAAAATAAACAGATACAAGGTATGTACATATTGAAAGCATAAACACTATCAAAACAGCAGTAGACTTAAGAAGGCAAACACCACCGCGTTTTGATCCTGCCCTTGAGCAGTAGCCAGAAGAGAAGCCCTAGCTCCCGGTTATACGGAAAGAGGCTGAGGTAACAGTTTTCTCATTGTTATTCACCGTTTTCAGACCAACTCCAACTTGCGGCTTTTGAACACACGCGCGATAGCTCTCGCACCCTTCACCCCACTGGGGCTCTCCTCCCGCGACGGCCCACACACACCGCCCGCCGGACCCGCGCTCCGGGCGAGACTCGCTTCGCCGCCGCGGGTCCTTCCCGGCGCCGGCAGCTCCTTACCTTCCTCCGGCGGAGAAGGAGGGAGCGGGAGGGCGGCGGCGGGCGGCCCGCTCCCCTCAGCCCGCGCCGCGGCGCCGGGAGGCGGCGAGTCCCGCGGGCCCGCCCCGCTGCCCGCCCGCCGCCATGGCCGCCCGCCGGCACCGACACTTCCGGCACGGGGCAGCGGCCACCGGGGCGCGCGGCCGCATCCGGGGCGGGCGCCTTGGCCGGCGGCCATCTTGGCTCGAGCGCGCGCCCCTCAGTGGCCGGAGTGGCCTCGCCCAAAATGGCGGCGTCACCCTGAGGCGGCGCTGGGTTCCTTCGTGGTGGGGGTAGACGAAAACTGTTCTGTATTGGAACCTGGCGGCGTGAGCCCGCCGAGGGAAGAATCGACAAAGATTACTAAGGAAGTTACAATAGACACTGAAACAGTCTAGCAAATGGCAAACGTGCAGTCAGATCCGAGTATATGCTTATACATAAACATGACGTGATTATTTCTATTAAATTAAATTCTAAGGAGATATACGCTTATTATCTCATGGCAACGGGTTGGGGCCAGATGATCTTTAAGGTCCATATGTTTCTATGATCTGCTGGGGAAAAGCTTTTAATGACGCTAAAAGATCATTTAAATGGACAGCAAAATTATACGGTCAGGTGTAGTCAATGACGGCGATAATTTTGGGAGAGTCTGTGTGTGCAGAATGTGTTTGCCTGAATTCAGGAACTGTGTGATGTGAACTCCGTGCCAGTTAATGCCGAAACTGCACGGCCTGATGTATGAAGTGAAACCTGTTATTAAATTGTATCCTAAAGTCACGAGAAAACTTCTTACAGAGAAAGCAGCAGTGGCCACAATTCACTCTCATGCTGCTATTAAGAAGGAGGCTAAAAAATGATTTTAAAAGGAATGCCCAATAAGAAACGAAATATATTAAAGCAATGATGTTTTTTGTTTATGTCTAAATACCTAGGATCTTCTGCCACATTTCTCGAGGATGTGGTAGGTGCATGTTACACAGTATATAAGAGCTGCTGCTAAATCAAATCTGTGATGGCTTATCTTGCTATGTTTGGTGTTTCAATGGAAAGCATTAGAAGCTGGTGTTTTGGACTATAGTCAGGACAGCTGATGAAGAAATGCATGGAGCTGCATTTATGGCTATCAGTAGAGAAAAAGGATGCTGTTGAGCGCCCACAAGAGTCAGAAATATAAATCCCCTGTCACAGAGCAACTTCACCTTAACTCGTACTGTTTCGGGTTTTATTTCTTGGTTGGTTTGGTTTTGTTGTTGGTTGCTTGGGGTTTTGTTTTTTTTTTTATTTTCTGGGGGTTGTTTTGTTTTGTTTGTTTGTTTATTTAAAATTATTATTATTGCTTTATGCTCATTGAACTAAAGGCCCAAAAGTGACACGAGATGGCGCCCAGCACCACAGGCAGAGCCAACCGGAGCAGCGCCCTGATTCCCCGGTCAGAGATTTTACACTTTGCTTCAGTTGAATGAAGATTTCATTATCTATCCTGAAGTTTAAATAAACCATTAGTGTAGTTCTAATGACAGATGTAGATATGAATAGCTACATACAGCTAATTACCCCTGGGACACTTCTCTCAACTAAATGCCATTCTTTCCATTCTTACAGGTGGTGAGGTCTCAGTTGATCTAAAAGTGAATAAAGCTCCTGTGTGACTGACAGACCTTCCACTCAAGCATGGCTATATTGCGTTTTCTTTTATTGAGGTTGGATGTAATGATGAAACAGTTTATTTTAAAATACCCACCTAGATGTTAAAGAGAAGGGTTTCAATATGAATTAATATGTGACTGTGTAAATGTATGTCTTGGCAGTGGATACTTGTGCTAAGTGGAAAGCCTGTATTTATACTTAGGATTCTGAAGAAAAATCAGTGAAATGTGGAACTTATTCATACTTAAGAAACATGTCTTTTCACTGAATGGTTGGAGTCAGAAATAGAGAATAGTTTAGGATTTAACCTGCTGGTAAATCAAGTAGGTTAAAAGACTCAACCAAGGGTCTTCTGTGATAATCATAAGCCTGAGATTGTGGCTATGAAGAGAAGGATCTAAAAAATTTGAAGAGTTATTATTACAATTGCAAGTTGCCTTTGACAGCTAAGGCATAACACTAGACAGAGTGATTTGTAGTATTTTTTGGCTGGATCTCAATCTGCATAAATTCAGTGTTATGCTTAATCTCTGTCATAGTATAGGAAGGGACAGAGCAATTAGCTCAGCTGAGGGTTTGGTGGTTGGTTTTAGCAGCAGGCCTCTGAGCGGGGAGGGAATAATACCAAAATTAGTAGAACAAGAAACAACTGTTCTCAGCTTTAGACAAATTCCAGTCACAAGTGGTGGTAATAATAAGGGGAAAGAACTCATAACTCTGCATATTGAAATGAGAACATACACCTGGTGAGACTCAAAAGGGTAATGTTCAGCTTGGGAAACCAAAGGAGAAGATAGAAGTCTGCTGAATTCCAAGGAAATAGTACTTAATGAACAGAATCAGAGAATTAATAATGGGATTTTGTAGCTTTAGGAAAAAAAAGTATTTAACTTAGTTTCGACATACTATGTATTTTTATAGAAACATTTGTTTTATTTTTAAGGTAAAACAGGAAAGCAATGGAACAGCAAGAGCTGGCTGCTCTATAGAGGACAGGAGCCAAGCATAATAACACAGTTTATGGGCCAGAGCTTCACTGCCCAAGCTCAGTCCCATAGAGCCTGAGCAAGACAAGCATGCCACACCAGAATGGGCCAGGAGTACAGAGCATCAGGCAAGTCACAAGGCTGATCCAAAGTCAAGCTGTGAAGGTAGCCCACAGGCTAGGGTCAGACATCACCTAGCAATTGCCATGAAGGTCCATACTGTTAGGAAAAGACTGAAGTCAAGTTAGGAAGTCAGTCTGTAACTCCAGATCCAGATAAACACGGCTTGGCACAGTCATAGCTGAGCTACTGATACAGCACAGGTCAGGTATGAACTGAAAGCACAGGACTTGGCTAAATTGGGGATGCTGAGCACATGGGAGGGGTCAGGTGAGGATTGTTGGGGCTATTAAGACCTGTTAGGATGCTCAGGATCCTGACAAACTACATAGGATAAATGAGGGTTGACAAGAGGAATCAGAAGGGTTAATTGTAATATTTCAGTCAAACAAAGTTTTCATAACTCAGTATTAATAGAAAGTCTTTCCTAGGCCTAGATTTTGGCCAGAATAGAAAGGCAGAGGTAGAATACCCAAGATGATTACAAAACCAAAATTAGTTTGCCTTCCAAGTGAAGGACAGAATGCATCCTTTTGGGTGGATCTCATGTTTTTATTTTGCAGAGTTATAGTAGGTTCTCACTGAGAAGTAATCAAGAAGCAAGAGTTTAATAACAGAGACATTTCTGTCAAGATGGCATTTGCCTTCCACTTTGTAGAACACTGATTTTTGATTGATCCAGAGCATCACATTCCCGGATCTTTTACTTCTTAATCCAAACTCTTGGCTAGAGAACTAGGATCCTTACAGACTGCATATATGTTGGGATTCCAAGGAGAAAACTGGCATAAATGAGGAGAACAGGGCATGAGCACATGTGTTGGTCCTATGAAGATCATGCCTAACCTTAAGCAAAGAGAGCTGCTTTAGTTTTAGGTTAGGGCTAAGATTCTGAGGAGTGAGGCATGAAACACAAAGCTCCTTGAAAATGCTCACTTGCTGGTTATAGAGAAGGACAACTGAAAGGAAGGAAGATTTATTCAGACTCTTAGGAGATCACATCTCTTCCTTGTGCCCCAAAGGTAGGGCAAACTGAAGAACCAGTGCTTTGATTGGAGAAAGAAAACACACATGGAAACCTAAGCCTCAAGTGACATCTGCCCTCAGCTCCAGATGGGCCAACTCTCCTCTGTGTTAAAAGTGGAGTTAGTGCTGTGTTTATAAAGAAATACAGAAGCGGAAGGTTTCTAAGTGAATCTGAAATAACACATGAAAAACTAGGGATGTTGGGAAAAACAACATTGGAAAAAGAGAATGCCTTTTTTTTTTGCTCAGAACAATGCTTATATATTCATGTGAATTTTTATCCTGAGTGCATGAATGCCCAGTGTTTTTGCAGCTTGTAGCAGTTTTATTTATTTGATGTAGTTACAGTGAGTTTCATAATATCCTGTGTGGTGTAATAAGATGTTTTGATCAGTTCCTTATAATTTAGTGTGAGTCAAGAACATTAATTTGCTTCAATTCATATGTTTTACTTTATGTTTTATGAATCTTTAGTTTGTGTTTTAGAACTTTTGTTTTTTCTAAAAATAAGGCTATAATCTTCTGATTCCCTTTTTTTCTTGGGTGGTTGTTTTGTCTGTCTTTGAAGTTTTTTGTTGGAGACACCTGTTTTCTTATAGAGTGTATCACATTCATTTGAGAGCATGCAAGAAACTTGGAATTTTTATATTTTATTTCTTCTCACTTAGAATTGAAATAGTATATTTGCTTGGTTTGTCTACACTGACCACATGAATGCTGAATGGTGATCTTTTCCACTTTTGACTTGCTTTGTATACTTTGTAATTTTGGGACCTTAAATTACCTTAATCTTTAATTCTCAGTTCCTGAAATTCTGCTTCTACCATTGGTTTTTTAGCAGCAGCCACATCAGAGTTAAGCTTCAGGCAATCATGTTATCCAGGTTCTTTGAATACCATCCATACTTTGTTCTTATTTGTAGAAATATTTATCATCTTTCCAACAAGCTTTTTGATATTTACAAATGGAATAGTTATCTCATTCTCTCAAACATCCACAGTAAACATCTGCCAAAGGAAGAACTACACACTACTCCCCTTTGTCCAAGTGCCTATAAAGGCGCTTCTTTTATGAAGAAGGACCTTGGTATTTTAGACTGAACTCTTAGTCTTCACTACACTGATACTCCTCGTTCATTAGTTACCTCATGGCTGCACTGTCTGCGGTAAAACAATTCCGAGAGGAAAGAGATACAATCTTTGCTTTTACCTTCTCCTTTTCAGCCAATTACAAAGTGGTTTCAAAACTGAGAAAGACCTGACAAAACATACTGAAAAGATATGGGCAGAGGTGTCTGGTGACTGACTATTCCTCTCTGTGGCATTTATTCAA